AGAATCCTCTTCAGGGGGAGACTAGTGGGATGGAAGAGGATTCTTCTTCTCCCTCTTTTTTTGTGCCTCTTTCAGCCTCGGGCCTTCCATCTTCTCCTCCTGATCCTCCTAGTTGTAGCATCCCAGGTGAATCTAGTGAGGCTCCCATTGAACCTGTCACCACTCTTGATGTTGCGGATGTAACTAAGGACACTAGTAGGCAACAAAAAGATACGAGAATCACCTACAACAGAAGGAAAAAAGACCCTCCAACTCATGGCAACAACCAATGGGACTCGGATCAATCTGCCTCAACAACTCCAAGTAATCCTATCACCCATACTTCTGATTTGGATCTCCCTATTGCTCTTCGTAAGTCTACCCGTTCTTGTACTATCTGACACCCCATTGCTGAATATGTTTCTTATTCACGTTTATCTCCTTGTTATTATTCCTTTGTGTCTACTCTCTCTTCTGTGCATGTCCCTACTAGGTACTCAGAGGCAGTGTCTGATCCAAGATGAAGAGAGGCTATGAATGAAGAAATGAAAGCCTTAATGAAAGCCAGGACTTGGGAATTAGTGGATCTACCAGAAGGGAAGAGCACTATAGGATGCAAGTGGGTGTTCACTGTGAAGCATAGGGAGGACGGGTCCATTGAAAGATACAAGGCCAGACTAGTGGCGAAGGGGTTTACTCAAAAGGAAGGGATTGACTACAAAGAGACCTTTGCTCCAGTTGCAAAGCTCAACACAATCCGGGTTCTATTGTCATTAGCTGCAAACTTCTCATGGGAGCGACATCAGTTGGATGTGAAGAACGCTTTCCTAAATGGCAATCTACATGAAGAGGTATTCATGGATCTTCCACCAAGTTATGGTTTTGATGGGAAAGTGTGTAGACCAACAGATACTCCAATAGAACAGAATCATTGTCTACAGGAATCAGTGGGAGAGGACTACCTTGATAAAGAGAGATACCAAAAACTGGTAGGAAAATTGATATATTTGTCTCTCATTCGACCAGATATTGCTTATGTTGTACATGTTGTCAGCCAGTTCATGCACTCTCCAAAGATTCCTCATATGAAAGCAGTGGAAAGGATTCTTAGGTATTTGAAGGCTTGCCCAAGAAAAGGAATTCTGTTCAAAAAACACAATAAAATTGAAATTAAAGCATATACTGATGCAGATTGGGCTGGTTTTATTGGAGACAGGAAGTCTACTTCTGGGTATTGCACGTTCGTTGGAAGGAATTTGGTTACATGGCAAAGTAAAAAGCAGAATGTGGTTTCTAGATCAAGTGCAGACTCTGAATATCGAGCTATGGGTCATGGTGTTGTTGAACTATTGTGGCTTAGGACCCTTCTTGGTGAGTTCGGGATAAGGGTCGAATGTCCTCTCAAGTTGTACTGTGACAATAGGCTGCCATCAACATTGCAAATAACCCAGTGCAACATGATAGGATGAAACATATTGAGATTGACCGACACTTCGTTAGAGAAAGGATAGTCTCAGGGGAACTCTGCATTCCTTATACTCCTTCCGAGATGCAGATTGCAGATGTGCCAACAAAAGGACTAGCTTCAATGAAATTCTTAGACTTACTTGGCAAGCTAAACATGACCGACATTCATGCTTAGCTTGAGGGGGAGTGTTGGTTCAATTGGTTTAGTGTTTATGTTAGTCTTATTTATGTTTTAAGTTCTTAGTTATTGGGCCTTAGTTATTGGACCTAAACTTGTTTTATTCTTTTTATGTCTAGGTGTCCCATCACTAATCAGGGGCATTCTAGTCCATTCTTGTAACATTACTTTGTAAACATCTATATAAGATTATAGGGCCAGCTGAAGTGGGTAAGCCACCATTCTCAGATCTCCTTTTCTTCTTCTTCTTCTTCTTCTTCTTCTTCTTCTTCTTCTTCTTCTTCTTCTTCTTCTTCCTCTTCTTCTTCTTCGACTGTTGTTCTCCAACAAACACCAGGCATTCTCTGATCCTTTTCCAATTAAAAACATTTTACAGTTTCTATATTAGCATGCTTCTCCTTCTACAATTGGTTTATGAAAATCATGCTAATATGAGCATGATATTTTCAATTTAACAAACCAATGATAAGTCACTACGAAGAGATATTGGAATTATGAAGTAGTTGTTTTAACCTTTTCAATCATTTGACCTCTCACCAATATCTCAGTTCATAAGAATGTCTTATCTCCTACATAAAGTTAAAACCTCTATTTAGATAAAAATAAAGAATAAAACATTTAAGTTTACAGCTCATTACCACTCAAAAATATAATTCCAAGCAAACCCAAATGATTGTTTGGATCCTCCACATCATGCAATAGGGGAATTTAAAAACAGGAAAACAACAACCCTCAAGCAGCTTGGTTACCTCACGGAACAGTGCATTAATTTGTCTCATATCCTTTTCAGCCAAATCTAGGAAGACCTGAAAACCAGGAGAACAATTATGAATTATATAAAGCAAACCAAACAAACAATAATTATTTTACAAACTCATCCATAAAGATCCAAATATCTTAACAATCAGTTAAGGTAAGCCTAAAGATATGCACATGAATTCATGCATGCAAGACCAATCACTTGGCTGTGCAAGAAAAAGGAAGAAAGACAAAGCAACTTTTATAGACACATGGAAATGAAGCAAGGCAAAAGGACCTTTGGGTGTATGATACATGGTGGAAGTAAAGACTAACTGAAATATCTATTGAGTATCCATACTTTATATTGTTACTTTGGGGATTACTTTGTTAGAAAAGGGTACAGTTGTCTGTTTCATTTCACTACTTCAGTAGATGGTCACAAACAAGGAAAGAATTCAACAGCCACCTTCTGGCTTGGAAGTAATCTCACAATTGCATTTGCATCAGCTTGTATTCAATTCATCGGCTCTGCTCTTCTAGATTAGGATTTGGCTTATTGAAACTGTAATCAATCTTAATCTGATCTTATAAATAACAAAAATAGAGAACTAACAAGAAAAAAAAGGAGAAAACAGAGGAATAAGAGAGAAGAATAGAGTTCAGCACAAGAGAGATTTTTCTAATAGATCTGTCACAAGTGTTGCCCTCTTATATTAATAATAATGAATGAATTTTTTTTAGAGAAGGTGATCATTATATTAGTATGAAAAAAAAGTGTACAACAAGATGATGTACTCAGGAACAAAGAAAATCTGTTCCCTCTAACCTTGACACACACCCTGCTTTAGAAAAAGATTATCATGTACCAAAAAATATTCAAAACCTACACCCTTGAACAACTTGTGACCAGTCAACCAAGAGAACATCTTTCACAAAATTTTCAGATGAATAGAATCAACAGAACTTATCTTGCTCTTGAAGACTCATACATTTCTTTCTTGCCAAAGGCTATAGAAAACCACTTCTGGGGTTATATTCCAGATTAATTTTCCTCTTTTACTCAGCCCTTCCACCCTCCAACCCTTTACAAAGTCCTCTACTGATCCTGGGCAGCAACTTTATACTTCAAACAAGTGTGAAAATCTTCCAAATGCCAAAGGAGAAGCTGCAGTGCAGTAATAGGTGATCCAGCAAAAAGCCTTTCCGAGAAAGGTTGTCCCTTGTAAGTATTCTATTGAGGTAAGCCATCCAAACAAAGAAAGATATTTTTGAAGGCACATTTTCAAACCAGATGATATAAGCTCGGACTGAATGTCCTTCTGCACTGTCCAATGCCTTATAAAAGGATTTAACAGTGAACCTTCCAGTCTTCTCCCACTTCCAACTCTTCTGGAAGACCTGACAAACTCCACCTGTGTACTATATAAAAGCTGCCCAATCTCTGAATTCTTCCAGAACTATGGGGTTCAGACCATATTTCCATCTTATATTTGCAAGCATTCAACAACCCTGACCAGCTCTCAGACAAAGACTTCTCCCCACACCAGACATCCTTCAAAATTTGACCTGCTCCTCAATTCTATTATGAATTTCACACCTTTTGCAAACAAAATATAAGCCTTTTCAATTCCTTTTAAAACCGAACACCCATAGGATTTGAAGCTCCTGGGTTCCACCCAAGGTTCCTATCTCCATATTTGGCCTGTACCATTCTTTTCCACAGCCCTCCTAGACTCTCCCCAAACATCCAAAACCACTTCCCTAGCAAGGCAATATTGATATTCTTCACCCTTTTAACACCCAGCCTCCTTGGGATTTGCGCTTGCAAATCCTTCACTAAGTGGTACTTTCTCTCCTCTTTCCAGCCTCTCCAAAGAAAATCCCTCATTTTCTTTTCAATAATAGCTGCCGTTCCTGTCAGGACTGGATACAAAGATAGAAAGTATATGGGGAGGGATCAGGGAAGATAACACACTTTTCACTGAGGTAATTTTGCCTCCATAAGAAAGGTATTTGGCTTTCTAGGAGGCCAGTTTCTTTGGAAGCCTTTCTACAATTGGCTCCCAAATTGTTTTGGAGTTGCATTTTGCACTCACAGACATTCCCAGATATTTAAAGTGCAGATTTCCCACTCTGCATCCCCAAATTCTGCCCAATAAACCAACTCCTTAACCTTTCCCACAGCCACTAGCTTGCTTTTTCTCAAGTTTACTTGCAGCCCTGAGACTATTTCAAACCATTTCAGCACAGCCATTACAAAATGAAGCTGCTCTTGAGATGCATCACAGAAAATAAGTGTGTTGTCAGCAAATTGCAGTAAATCAGATTCAACCCTCTCATTACCTACTTTGAAACCTTCTAAAAATCCACCAGTGCCAGCCCTTTTCACCAATCTGCTAAAAGATTCCATCAGACAAATAAAAAGGAACAGGGAAAGTGGGTCCCCTTGTCTAATTCCCCTCGAGCTTTTCAAGTGGGCAGCTCAGAGGTGCATATTCAAGGACAGCTGTCCAAGGGTCCAGGACCCATTAGTCTTGCCACCCTAGAAAAACAGGCAGCAGGACCCAGCCCACATCATTTTAATGCAGATAGACTCCCACGGGAACGGCCCAATTCTAGCCCAAGGAAGTAAATCCAGCAGATCCAAAGAAGCCCACATTCAACTACAGCAGCTACTTCAGAAGTTTTCAGTGATCTTCCAAGAGCCTAAGGAACTACCACCGAAACGTGCCCATGATCACTGCATTCCATTGCTGCCCGGAACGGCACCCACAAATGTAAGGCCCTATCATTACCCCTATTTTCAGAAACTAGAGATTGAGAGACAAGTGCAAGATATGCTTGATAGAAAAATTATACAACCCAGCCAAAGCCCATTCTCCTCGTCAGTATTACTTGTGAAAAAGAAGGATGGGACATGGCGATTTTGTATAGACTATAGCGCCCTGAACAACATTACTGTGAAGGATCGATTTCCCATACCGGTAATCGATGAACTACTAGATGAACTCGGCAGGGCCACCATATTCTCTAAACTAGACCTGAGATCGAGATATCATCAAATTCGGGCACATGAGGGTGACATCCACAAGACTGCCTTTCGTACACACGAGGGGCATTATGAGTTTTTGGTCATGCTGTTTGGGTTGACCAATGTGCCAGCTACATTCCAAGCACTTATGAATGACATATTTCGACCCCATTTGCGCAAATTTATAGTCTTTTTTTTATGATATACTTGTATATAGCGCTACATGGGACGAACAACTAGTACATCTACAAATCACCTTGGAACTACTAAGGACTCATAAACTCTTTGCAAAGGAGTCAAAGTGCGCATTTGGACAGACACAAGTACACTACTTAGGGCACGTAGTCGAAAACGGTATTGTAGCAGCAGACCTGGAAAAGATCTCAAGCATGATAAATTGGCCCCGAACTCAAAATGTTAAGGAGTTACGGGGCTTCTTGGGTCTAACAGGGTACTATCGTCGATTCATTAGAGGGTATGGACTGATTGCTGCCCCCTTGACAAGTTTACTTAAGAAGAATGGTTTCTGCTAGACTAGGGAGGCCCAACAGGCCTTCAAAACGCTCAAAACAACTGTCTCGTCCCCACCGACGCTCCCACTTCCAGACTTCTCAAAGGACTTCATCATTGAATGTGATGCGTCRAGCCAAGGAGTWGGTGYRGTCCTCATGCAAGAAGAAAGGCCACTAGCGTTTTTCAGCAAAGCAATGACAGCACAGAAATGGGCCAAGCCAGTATACGAACGCGAACTGATAGCAATCGTTCTCGCAGTTCAGAGGTGGTGGCCCTACCTTCTAGGGAGGAGGTTCATCATACGAACTGACCACCATAGCCTGAAATTTCTGTTGGAGCAGTCCATACTATCCCCGGAACAGCAGCGATGGGGGATGCACTGTCACGCCAACCACAACTATTTACATTACTTCTCACGGGCCCAACATGTTCCATCATGAGTCAGTTAAGGGAAGAAGCTGAAAGACACCCACAACTGAACAAGTTGCGTTCACAGGTCCAAGAGGACCCTACTAGCCACTCAGGGTACACAGTGGAGAATAACTTGTTGTTGTATAAATGTCGATTGGGGATACCACAGCATTCAGCCCATATTCAGCAGCTTCTGGAAGTGTTCCACTTATCACCAGCAGGAGGACACTCAGGGATTTTGCGCACTTACAAGAGACTAGCTACCCAATTCCACGAGAAAGGCATGCGGAATTCGGTCCAAAATTTCATAGCCGAATGTGTCATTTGCCAGAAAAATAAGGCTGATACCCAGTCTCCAGCAGGACTACTACAACCACTCCCAGTTCCTACACAAGTGTGGGCGGATATATCCATGGACTTCATAGCGGGGCTTCCCCTTTCCTATGGCAAGTCTATCATTCTCGTAGTGGTTGATAGATTCACCAAATACTGCCATTTTCTCCCTCTTTCCCACCCCTTTACAGCTTCAATGGTGGCTGAGATTTTTACTAAGGAGGTGGCAYGACTGCATGGTACCCTTAACTCTATTGTCTCAGACCGCGACCCAATTTTTATGAGTCGTTTCTAGGCAGAACTTTTTCAACTACAGGGAATGAAACTCTTCAAATCTACCAGCTACCATCCTCAAACAGATGGGCAAACAGAGGTGGTCAACCAGAGTTCGAAAACCTATCTAAGGTGCTATACAGGGGATAGGCCGTGTCAGTGGCTCAAGTGGCTTCATTGGGCGGAATGGTGGTACAATACCACATACCACAGTGCAGTAGGAATGACTCCCTTCGGGCTCTATATGGACGGGACCCACCTCCCCTACTCCCATATGAGAAAGGGTCTACAGAAGTAGCAGTGGTGGAAGACCAACTCCTCCAGCGAGATAGGGTGTTACAAGATCTCAAATCCCACCTCCATCGAGCCCAACAATGGATGGTAGACCCTTACAACAGAAAGCATAGGTCGGTCCAACACCAGATTGGGGAGAAAGTCTTCCTTAAACTACAACCATACAAGCAAGTTTCGGTAGCAGGCCACAGGTGGAACAAACTGAGCCCA